TCGTAAATGTAGGCGTAGAGACTAGTCTGTTCAGCAGCTAATAACAAAGGAAGGTGCTCTTCTACTTTCGCTTTACTTTGGCTTTGTCGGAGTAGGGTGCCTCCCTTCGCGGTTACCTCTAACGTTCTCAGCGCCGAACGTGAGTCGTGTGCGTATCTAGGTTTCGGCACTCAGCCTGAGCTTGCTTTTTGTGCGTGGAGCTCGTCGATGTCAAAGCCCAGAAGTTTAATATTCAGATGTGAAATTCCTTTGGGCTTTTTTTTTTTCTGAAGTTGGGTGTAATCTTATCCTTACTGACGCAGATAACTTTGCACTTAGTGTATAGCGTCTTGGTGTAAAAAGACAACTTTGCTGGGCTTCGATGTCTGTGACATACAGCAATCTCTGTACTAAAGGAATTGTTAGTATATAAGTTTCTCAGAATAATCGGTAAGTCTTTGCTGTTGCTGGGTTTTTTCGCCCCCTTTTTTTATCCCTATTTTTGCACACAACTGTGCTAGCAGAGATTGTTTTTTCTGACCTGCTTGCTATTATGCCTCTGTTGAAGAATAGGGCTGTTGTAATGGACCTTTATATCAGAGTCTTTCCCAAATCTGATCAAGCAAAATTGTTCATTGTAATGTAAACTAAATGTGCACAGTGAGCTATTCAAGGGAACTTAAGCAGATGTATTCGAAAATACTTATCTGTCAGAATTGTCAGGAATTAGTAGTGTGAGGGGAAGGGAACATCTGGATCTGAAACAGTATCTCTGGATTAAATGGCAGTATTGCTTTTTGGAAGCCCATGTGAGTCTATGATTCTATGTGAGAGGGAACAAGTTTTCTGAGTCTCTTCCAATACTCTCAAGTTTGTGGTTACTACATATTGATGACACTCTTGTGTTACCTGTGCTTGGTTTTCTGGGGGATTTTTTTTTTTGGGCATTCTTCTAAATGTACTGCCTGAAACAAGGGAAACTCTTGTCTTGATCTGCACTTGCTAAAAACTGCCTATTGAACTTCAATATTTTTGTTAGGCTTTTTTTGCTCTTCTAGTTGGCTTTTTAATATCTTAAAAATAATATGTTAAAATTTAAAAGGTGCTAATTAATAGCAGCATGGTACTCTGCAGTTTTATCCATGTATTTATTTTTACAAGCAGTGTGAGTCTTGAGACATAGTAGTCAAGGAGTATCACAGAGGAGGAGGCCTTTTTACTGCTGGATGAGTGGTGAAAGAATCTCGAGCATCCCTATGGGGTGATTTGCTTGAGAACAGGTTTGAGACTATAGGAAGAAGCTGTTCTTCTGAACTAGGTCTAAGACAATATTGCCAAGTGTTGGGAGAAAAGAGACTTTATTGTCCAAGCATAAGTATCATTCATCACTGTGGCAAGTCAAAGATTATATTCTGGTGGCCCAAGCTCTGTGTGATAGTACCAGCCTACCTAATTCCTGCATTGCACCAATAGCCATTCAGGTACTTATGCTCTTTCTCTTTGTTAATCAATCTTCTCTATAGTGTGCTTTAGCCAGATGCAATGCTTTGTTCAAGTTCTAAAATTCGAGTTAAGACCTGACTTCAGTGACCTGAGCTCCTCTTCCTCCTGTCTGTGGGGAGTAGGTAGTCCTTCTGATACATGCTTTCTCTGGCTGGTGAGAACGCTGCTATTGCCTTTTTTCTACGTTTTAGTTTCTTTCTATCTTAAAAACCAAGCAAAATGCCATTTCATTTTATTTGGGGTTTTTGAGGTTTTTTTTGTCCTATAGTACTGAATTGTGTATTTTGTACCTTAGCTGCCTTCTACTGGAATGCTGAAAGAAAAAAAAAACTTTCACAGAAGAATGATCTTTGTACTGGGAAAAGATTAGAAACATAAACTCTTGACTAGTGAGAGAAGCACTACGTTGTATACTTAAGTTTATAAGCAGTTAGATCATGGTGCTGCAGTTTTGTATGTTGAAATTTTGGGAGTAAAGAGAGCTGAGATGCTTTGGCTCCTGTGGAGTTGGACTGTTAGTGGGTCTGCATCCTTCTAAACTTCTTGGCCACTCTGCTTCCTGAATTACTTCTTTAAGAATAACTCACGCCTAGATTTTGAACTTGCAACCAACTTTTGCTGGGCTTGCCACGACCAGTTTTGTAGATATCTTTCACATTAAAAGTTTTAAAAATAATTATAGCCTCTTTTTTTTAAGGAATGACTTTTGTGTTTGTTATGCCTAGGAGCTACCTTCATACAAAAAGAGGCGATAAGGGAACAATGAGAGAATACTGAATACCTGAAACATAAAATACTTCTTGATAACTGTTACTCTGAAGTCTAAATGGCATTTTGTTTTAGTGCTGCTGTTGTACTTATGCAAAGTGTTGTGTAAGTTAGAAAACTTTTATAGTTTCTAAAAGGCTCACAAATGGGAGTAGGTAGTTACTACAAATAAATTACTTACCTGATCTTCCATAAATTTCAGAAGAAAATTTTTAAAATTGTAGACTCATCTGGCTGCTAGTACCTGTAATTTCATTGGTTAGAGGTAATGATAATTATATTCCCCCATGAACTTAACATGTTCTCTGCTAAACATGAAGCTTATTCTCTGTTTCCCATGAAACTTCTAAAATGTGTAGTTACCCAAAATAAACAAAAAAGGCCTAGTTTTCCTGGTGATGACTGATCTCTGATACTCTTTCCTCTCTCTTCCCCTTCATCTGTGAAAATAGCTCTGGAAGTTTATTTCTGTAACTTTCTGGCACATATACAGTCAGAAAAGAAAGTATGGTAGGCATGGGTCCTCTATGGTTCGCACCTGTGGGGAAGGGTAGCATTTTGGTTAGAAAACGAGTTCATGCATTGGTGTGTTTTGGTGATAAGAGAAGGCAAAGCTGTGCTGTTGATGTGAATGGTTGCATGTCTCTGCTTAGAGCTTTAGAATGAAGTAAAGTAACATTGATTGAGATTAGAGGTATCTAACTGGACTTGTAACCTGCTTTGAAAAGGTGTTCTTGCAGGTTGGTTTTTATTTTTGTGCTGCCTCTAGCATTTGTTCTCCTATTTCGGTAGTTAAGGGAGGACCATTGGGCAGGACTAATGAGATGGTCTAACGGAGAAAAGTCAATTTCCCACTGGTCTAGCAAGATGTGTCAGCTTAGCAAGGAGTTCAACAAATGCTGTAGTTGGAGTCAGGGAAGCAGTGGGAGTTACAAAGCTGTGGAAGGAAAGAGGGAAGTAGGCTTCCTCTTTCTCTTTGGTCTCTGTCTTGTCCAGCTGCATTGTGTGTGGTTTGGGAAAATGGGAAAGAAACTGAAATAAGGAGGGGTGGGGTGGATTTTTTTATTTTGAAAAATAATTATTACTAATAGCCTTATTTTGTAATAGCTCAACAGGAGGACTTAATTTTGGAACTCTGGGCTCTTCCACTGCTACAGCAACTACATCAGCTCCTTCAGTGGGCTTTGGGAGTGGACTTTTTGGATCAAAACCAACCACTGGCTTTACACTAGGAGGCACCAGTACAGGTAGAAGAAAAAATCTTGTACAGCAGAAATTTGAATGAATGGTGAAAAAGTATATGTACACAAACACTGGGTCATCATAATGTACTTACCTTTTTACAGTAGTTCTATAGCTCAGAATATTCTTACCTAGTTTTGTAAAAAAGCTTCATTGAACGGTTGAAAAAGGTCATTCATTGAGAATTGTACAGTACCAATGCTACTGAAACACAAATGCTTTTACTAGAAAACTCTGCCCGGGCCTGTGTATAAATTGTTCCATAATTTGAATCCTGATGTTTTCTAGAGATCTAAATCTCTGTCCATGATGCTCAGAATTAAGATGGAAGATTGAGGTATATTTGGATCTGAAAAAGATTTAAAAACATTGTGAGATTATTGTAGTAGTATTTGTAATGTGATGTGTATAATCCTGCAGTAGTAAGCATTTCTGGTTTTGTTCATGAAAAAACTTATTAATATTTTCTTAGGTCTCTAATTCAGTCTGTGAACATACAGATTCTTATAGGAGTGCAAACGAATAAAACTCTTCTGACTGGAGGTTTCAGTCATCATGCAGGTGTAACAATGAATTTTACTGTGGCCCCAGTATTGCTAGGCAAAATGGTCTTGTTTTCTTGTACGCTTGTATGAGTAGATAGGGCAAGTTGTATTGACCAATCTACTAGAAATCATTTCAACAGTAGACCGAAAGCCTGTATTACTTTGTTTGGCTGCTTTGGGGTAATTTTCTTTTAGCTCTCAATGATTCTTTTGATCAGTTAATCAAATACTTTTTAAAATATGAAATGGTATATCACTGTGTTCAAAATAATATCTTTAAATTACCAGTGGGGCAGAAACCCTAAACAAAGACACAGGATTATACAAAGATTTTGGACTCTATAATAGTCTTCATTATACTGTGAATCTACTGTTTTACATGCTAATGTTATGTACTGCCATATGACTGAAAAAATACTTAATGGAATTACTAGTTTCCATACTTTTGTTTACCTTCATTTGTTTGAAATAGCAAACAGTTTGCTACACTGCTGTGTTAACATCAGCTTCACTGTTAGCAGATTCTTAGGAAGAAAAATTACTTTTTTTGAAGTCGGTTATGGTTTGATTTGTGCTGCCAGTGCTTACAAATACTGTTTTCTATGTTAATATTTTGCTTTCAACATACAGAAAAAAAACTTGTATAATAGTCTACATATTGTCTCATAATGTTGCATTACTTTAGTGTTTTGATTCATGTTTTTTGCTATCATAACTGCTCTGTGGTCTTCAATTACAATTCTTATTCTATTTGTTTTCATTCTTAAAGCAGGAACGGCAACAACTATTGCTACAGGACTGACACTAGGTAAGGATGTAATTTGGATTTTATGTTACACACACACAAAAAAAGATAGACAGGTCTTTCTCTTGTAGTGTAGAAAGTTAATGGTCATATGTGAGCCTTTTCCTCATCACTAATTGCAGTCTGCTTTGCAGCCCAAATGTCAAGACTGCAAACCAGAGTGGAGGCCTGCACTTCTGGGAGCTGTTACCTCTTGTTAGAGGATCATTCCATTCCTGTGCAACAGTGACAGTGGTCGTAGTGAAAAGTTAGACTTACTTATGTCCCCCTAATGAGTTTCAATATTCAGCGGTGGGGAAGTGGAATACATTATCATAGAATTCTTCCTACAGAATTTCTTGCTCTAATGAACTTTGTGTGAACAGGTCTGTTTGTTAATTACCTCTTTTAGAAGAATAAAGAGGGTTGAACTTGAATATTTTACTTTTGTTTCTGTGATGCATCCTTAGTGACTATTTTTCAGCTGTCATTAGAAATACAGGAATGTGTGGGTAGTTGTGGAGTTTGGATTTTTTCTTTTTAAACACCAGTAACTGAGGTCTGAGGAGGAACTGAGCTTGAGTATCACAAATGTTGGAGGTGGGGGTGGTGCTACAAGACAGACTGCAGTCCAAGAACTTAGGAAGCCATACTGTGAATAAAGAGGAAAAAATGGTGTTGTATAAAGAAGCAAATAAAATGGGTAGAAGAAGGGAGGAGCAGCAGCTGACCCAGAACAGACTGTGATGCATAACTGTACGTGGCAATCAGTACTATGCAGATGAACATAAATTCTTTTCAGTAGCTGAATGAAATGATGTCATCTAAACCAGACACACAGCAGTTACTGACAATACTAAGTGTGGGTTTAGGTATGTATATGCACCCTCCTCCTTTACTTTGGAATATGGGATCTAGAACGTAAAATATATTCTTACCATAAAAACAGCCGGAAGCGAAAGCTTTATTAGGTTTATTTTAAGTGCTCGGAAGCAAAGTTTGAGGGAATATTTCTTGTTTACAAATTGGAAGGATATGTGCCTTCATTTTGGTATACACATCCAATTGAGAATTTTTAGTCTGTATTTTGTTCAGTGTTGTTTATAGCTCCATTTACCAATATTTGATTCATCTATTATGCTCTTGGTGGAAGCCCTTTTTTTACAATTTTTTTGCGGATTACCACTAGATATAATTGCCAGTTCATGAATAAAGCCCGTTGGATCACTAAGAATTCTGGAGCAAAAATGCCTGTGCAATTGGTATAAACCTTTGAAATTTATCTGAAGGTGCTACGGGGATATCTTACTTGGCGCAAGTGATCTTGCGTGCTGTGGTGGTCATGATGGTTAAAAGGAAATAGTTCAGAAGAGAGGATGAATTGAACACTCAATTCTCAAACAGAATGTTCTAAGGGTGATAATTGGTTTTGGGTTTCTTTTAGGTGCGCCTGCCACCACATCAACAACTACCACAGGCTTTAGTTTAGGTTTCAACAAACCTGCAGGTTCAGCCACACCATTTGCTTTGCCTGTTACTTCTACCTCAGCCAGTGGCCTATCGTTATCATCTGCTCTAACATCAACTCCTGCAGCAGGTAGGAAAATGTTGGGGGGGTTGGGTTTTGTTTGTTTGGGGTTTTTAACAATAAAACTTTATGGTAAAACAGTTCCACACTCTATTTTTCTAGTACTTACATAATTTTGTGGTACTTTAATAAGAAGGTTCATTGGACTTGACTAGTTCTGAATTTTGGTACCCTAATACAGATAGGTTTATGGGCAGTATGCCATGTGATACAGGCAGCATATAATCAAAGTCATTGGAAGTGTAGCAAGAGCTGATTTCTAGTGTAAAATCATTATTTTTGTTTTTGTTAACCGCTGAAAAGTTTGGAAAATGTCTACCTTTTGTAGATGGCCTGAAATTGTTAACTAGTAGTGGAAATAAGTTTTTTTCAGTGTAGTTCTTATACAGGCACACACTTGCCATCATATTTAACTTGGCTGAACTGCACTGTGCATGATGATAATTAAGACTGGAGTTCACTTTACTTAACCTTAGGAGTCTGCGTTAGAGCTCAGCTATTTGCGCCCTCTGTGCTCTGTCCCTTTATGGCTCTGGTCTTGCTCTACTCAATTCTTCCCTATCCTACCAAAAGCTGGGATGCCTAATTCCAGAAGACAGCTCAAACTTATCAAAGAGATGTTCTTCTGTCATCTGTCTTGTTAATGTTTTATGTTAAACATCAAAATATTTTACACATTTCAGCTTTTTAATATAAAAAGTCAATAGCACTTGTTAGATCTATGATGCTGTAAAATAAATTCTGTGCTAAGTTCTAGGTTCTCCAGTGTTCTGAGGATGCTCAAAAATTTTACTTAGTTGCAGGTAAATCTGGGCTAATCAGGATTATGATACTGTAGAACAAAATAACATAATTCAAAAGTCTCTATGACTTTGGAAAATCTGCAGTAAATAAAAACAATGACTTGAGGTTTTTGTCCGATTATGACAAAGATGCTGTTCTGACCTTTTAGTTATTTCGGATTGTCTATGGATTTATTTGAATGCAGTGTCTGCATGAAGCTGGCTTACTTTCTCTGCAGGAACTACTGGCTTTACATTAAATTTGGGTGGCACAACTGCTCCGACTACAACTGCCTCCACAGGCCTTTCCTTAGGAGGAGCCTTAGCAGGTTTAGGAGGTTCACTCTTCCAGAATACAAGCACAACAGCAACAGGTGAAATTATTTTAGTTTTTTCTTCCTTCCATCTCAAAACACTGAAATTTAATGTGAGAATGGATTGAGAGCAGCTCTGACGAAAAGGACTTGGAGTTGTTGGTTGATGAGAAGCTCAACATGAGCCGGCAATGTGCGCTGGCAGCCCAGAAAGCAAATCGTATCCTGGGCCGCATCCAAAGAAGCGTGGCCAGCAGGTCGAGGGAGGTGATTCTGCCCCTCTACTCTGCTCTTGTGAGACCCCACTTGGAATACTGCATTCAGCTCTGGGATCCCCAGCACAAGAAGGACCTGTTGATGTGGGTTCAGAGGGAGGGCCACGAAGATGATCCAAGGGCTGGAGCACCTCTGCTATGAAGACAGGCTGAGAGAGTTGGGGCTGTTCAGCTTGGAGGAGAGAAGGCTCTGGGGTGATCTTATTGCAGCCTTCCAATACTTAAAGGGGGCCTACAGGAAAGCTGGAGAGGGACTTTTGACAAGGGCATGTAGTGATAGCACAAGGGGCAATGGCTTTAAACTGAAAGAAGTTAGACTTCAATTAGATCTAAGGAAGGAATTTGTTACAATGAAGGTGGTGAGGCACTGGAACAGGTTGCCCAGAGAAGTTGTGGCTGCCCCATCCCTGGAAGTGTTCAAGGCCAGATTGGATGGGGCTTTGAGCAACCTGGTGTAGCGGAGGGTGTCCCTGCCCATGGCAGGGGGGTTGAAACTAGATGATTTAAGGTCCCTTCCAACCCAAAACACTCTGTATAAATTCATAATGTACAATTTAGTTTATATAAAATCTTAACACTGGGAAAGTGTAGTTTTTAAGTGTTACCATTAACAACAGTGTTGCTACCCATGGACAATAAAAATGAAATCTGAAGTCATTGGTGGCTTTCTTGTTCTTAAATTCACTTGTACTGGACACTTTTTTTAAATGAAAACACAAGCAAATCTTTGTCATTGCCAGAATTGACTCAGGGAAGTTGGTCATAAATGGGAGATGGGAGTGATACACAACTCTCTCTTTTATCTGTGGAGAAGTTGAAAGCTCCTTGTTTTGGTGGCTTTTGGCCTGAATAAAATCTTTTTAACTGTTAGTATTTCACAGCTTCCTGTCAGTCAGCCCTAGAGGAAAAATCTGTTGTGCGCTGTGTTTTAAGCCTTGGTAGCATTGCTCTTAAACTCGAAATGAAACAGAATGATGCTGATAAATCAGGAATCTAATCTACCTAGTAAGGTGAAGAAATTACATAGAACACTTGTGTGAGACTTTGTGCAATCTGTTTTCTTCTCTGTTTATTTTGCATTTTTTAATCAAATGTAGTAAACGATCAGTGAAACTGCAAGAAAGATTGTATGTGCTTTTACTTTAAAATAAGTTTTAATTGTCAGTGTTTTAAGTGCTGAAATTCTATTCGGGTTTCTTGCAGGACTTGGGCAGAATGCTTTGAGTTTGACTCTGGGGACAACTGTGGCTCCTTCAACTACTGCTAATGAAGGTCTTGGTGGCATTGATTTTAGTAGTTCTTCAGACAAAAAGAGTAAGTTTGTTTTAAAAAACTTTTTTTTTTAATGGATAAAATTATCAGAGCACTACAGCAAAGACTATTTCATTGTGTTAGGAGTGTGGAATTAAAGCTGAAAACTTTAATTATTTTTCCCCGCCTCCTTTTACAAGGCATTTCGTTTCATTTCATGCTTAGATATTGTGCTCGTATAGAAGAACAAGATTTTGTTTGCAAATGCAATGTAATAAAAATGTATTTAAAATAAGTTGTCACGGTTTAGGCTGCTTTGGCAACTAAACTCCTCACAGCCGCTCACTCACCCTCCCCTCACCCCGCAGGGATCAGGAAGGGAATTAAAGGAGAAAAGGAAATGAGACCTGTGGGTTGAGATAAGAACAATTTACTATTACTGCTACTAATATATGAATATATACAGATATGTACAATGATAAATATTTACAAATGATGTAGGGTGTAATTGCTCACCACCCCTTGACCAAGGCCTGTCTCATCCCGAGTTAACAATCCCAAAACAGAAAAGTCCCGATACCGCAATCCCAGACGAGCAAGAGACCCGACAATAAAGAGCGAGACAGAGAGCACTCTGAGAGTCCAAAAGTGAGAGCCCGGGAAGAGCAAAGGACCTTCTTTCCGGCTGTCCCTTGCTTTTATACTGGGCATGATGCTGCATGATATGGAATACTCCATTGGCCAATTTGACCCTCAATCCTAAATCTAAGTACAAATCATAAGGAGAGTCCTGGACCCCCTGTCCTGGCTGTGCTCCCCCCTATCCTGTTGTGCTCCTGCACACTGGCAAGAACATGGGAAGCTGAAAAGTCCCTGAGACCTCAGTGCCGACTATAAACATCAGTGCGCTGTCAGCGTTCTTCTCAGAGCAAGTCTCAGACTAAAACCAAAACACGGAGCTCTTCTAGCTGCTAGAAAGAAGAGCTAACTCTGTCCCAGCTGAACCCAGGACATAAGTATAAGCCAATATCATACTTGAGAACTGGGATCTAAACCCTTGAGCCTTTTGGGAGTGACGACTCATAGGGCAGTTTGCTGAAATAGCCAGTAGAGGGAGGAGCAGAGCTATGTTAAGCAATGTATTGCAAATGTGAAAAGTATTCATTTGAAACCAGCTTTCTCCAACTGTAATGAATCTTAAACGTGTTTTCTTCTTTTGAAATCCTGCACGATAAAAATGTCATATTTCTAGCTGTACAAAGGTGTGAAGTTCTGTCTGATATATTCTATCAGATTGTTAAAACCAGTTTTAAAATTTTACCTCTTTGGTAGCTTTGAAGTACATAAGTAAGGGAATATTGAGCATTGACATACGGACTCATCTGTCTTGCTTGTATAAAAGCATATAGCTTTCCAGAGTAAGGTTAACTAAAGCTGACTCTAAAATGAGCATTTTCTCTGAGGAATCAATAGTGTTAATTTAATGTCTTGGTTCCATTCAGGAGCCAAATTTTAAATAAGGTATACCAATGCTAAAAGAGAAGGAAATAAGGAAACTATGAAACCATCTTTACAGAATAACACAAGTTGTGGAGACAGTTTTTCATACTTGTAGAAGAGATGGCATATTGACTGTCCAAATTGGAGTGCGCTGCATGATGTTGATGGGTTTTGGAGGTTATTACTGAAACTGAGAGTGACGGAAGAAGCTTCAATTCCTAGGTTCTTATGAGATTTCCATTACTATAATATTAGGATATCACAACACTTCCATAATATACAAATATCTTAAAATGAGGACCAGAGAACCACAGACTCAAAATCTACTTCAGTCTGACATCTCTAAATACTGTTTTGCTCAGCTCTTAAGGTGGAAATTTGGATGAGTACCTAAATTCCCCTGATGTTACATATTGGAACTGGGTGAGTTTGACTATTGCTGTCAGGATGAAACACAGAGATCCCTTAGCCAAGCAGTGAGAAATGTCAAAGGACACTGTTTTTTGAGGTTTTGAGATTTTTTATTTAGATTTTAATTTAGGATCATTTCACATAATGGATAGTGCTGGCTTAAGCAGCCCTGACAAATATCCCTACCTGTATGCTGCTACTCAGTTCTGTCAGTAAAATTGTTTGTACTGCTGTATGAGGAACTGTGTTAAGGTTTGAGGGTGGTGGTTCTATGGTTTTGAGATTTTTATTTCTTTTCCTTCGCGAAGAAAAGGAAGGAGGAGATGTGGCTATCAAAGAGAAGTGCCCTAGGAATCCCAGGACAGATCGGGACCTAGCACCTGTGTTCTCTCTCCTGGAATTGGTTATAAAAGCTTTTCCTTCTGGGGACTAAAGACTGGCTGTCTAGTATATCTTTAGAATATAACTGCAGAAAAAGAAGTTATTCTTAGACATGTTTTCCTTATGCATTACTAAAAAGAACATTAAAACGTGTAAAAAAACTGGAGCACTCACTTGCCCAGAAAGCAGCAAAATCTGATTTCAAATCTGTATGTTTTACTTTGTAAGTATTGTTCTGATGTACAGGAAAAAAGTGACTGGAGAGAGAAAGCAAAGTAAACGTAGTGTTCTGCCTAACTTGTAGGTTATCAGCAGAAAAGGGAGTCCTAAATTCTGGGGTTTTATCTCTTTAATTTTTTTTTTCCCTACTACCCACAGTTTTGTGTAGGTGTTTTTTCACTTTAGCAAAAGGCATAGGGAAAGGTTGTGAGACTCCAGGCTCTCTAATGTACTGGGTGACAGAGTCTGCAAACAATTTAAGTAGATGTTGCTTCTAAAAGCAGTAGCTTTTCCTGGCAAGAGCACTGGCTTGCACAGCTTAAAATGTTTGTAGCACTAGCATTAGCTGCATAGCTACTTTCTGTCTTGGTGGCCCTGAGAGAGAAGTGAAG